GTATGTAGAGGTGTGTGTGTGTGTGTGTGTGTGTGTGTGTGTGTGTGTGTGTGTGTGCGTGTGTGTGTGTATGTTTCTTTGTGGCCAAGTTGAAAGTATTTATTAATCATTGTAATATGCCAAATCTTTTGTTGTTGTTTTATTCATTTTTAATTACCTCACTAATTTATTAATTTTATTCATTCTTCTGTCATATATTACACCCCAACCATGCTTTCGCAAATTATCGGCATAAATTTAGTTAAAAGCAGCCAGCATTTTTCATGCTGTTGTATAAAATGCTGTGTGCTTTGAAACTTACACTGTCTTAGCATTAATCTATTGTATGGATATAACGTATTTGGTTCTCTCTCTGTCATGTTTTAGCTATTGAACTCGGTGTTGCTTTGAATATTTGTGTAGAATTTTTCTGTTGACTTATGTTGCAATTAATCTTCTACAAACATCTCAGAATGGAATTTATGGGTCCTCTGATAACTAAATGTGATAATTACTTAGAATACCACCCCATTGTTTTCAAAATTTGCTACAGAATTTGGCATTCTTATTTGAAGTCTATGCTGGTTCTTAATTCTTGCTGTTTTCCTCAACTCTTACTACTATCTATTATCTGTATTTTTAATTGTAACACACTTGTGGATGTGAACTTATCTCATTGGAGTTTTGAGTTGGATTCCATGGCCAAGATTTTGAGTATCTTTTCCTATACTTATGGTACACCCACACATATTTGAGAATTTAGATGTTTTTATTTCATTTTTGCAACTGTAGAATTTATTCATATATTCTAATTTATAAGATTCTTTTCAGATATAATTTTAAAATATCTCCCCTCACGTTATTGACTATTATTTTTGTGCTTTTCACAATATTATTTGATGAGATAATTTAAGTTGATAGAGATCAACATTTCTGTGTTTTAAGTTACCACTTGTGGTGAAGTATCAAAATTTTTTGCAAGGCACAACTCTAGAATATATATTACCCCCTTTTCTCTAAGTGTTATAACTTTAAGGCTTACACTTAGACTTATGATCCTTTTTGAATTATTGTATTTGCTGATGGCTAGTCGACTGATTTCATTCTTTTGCATACAGATATCCAATTGTCCCAGCACCATTTGTTGAACACTTTTCTCCACTGGATTGAGTTGGCACCATTATCAAAAAAATCACTTCACCATCAAAGTAAGGGTTGATTTCTTGACTGAATTCTATCCTAAGGTCTATATCTATTCTTATGCTAGTATTGCCATGTTTTAAACATTGGATCTTTATGGAAAGATTTGTAATTTGGAAATGTGAATCCATTTTTAAAACAGGACTGCTTTGGATATTTTGGGTTCTATACATTTCCATGAGAATTCTAGAATCACTCTCAACACCAATTTCTGCTGAATGGCTGGTTAGAATTTTAATCAGGATAATGCTTTTACTGCAAATATATTTGGTGAGATTTTCTGTCTTAACACTGTATATTGTGATTCATGAACACAAAATGCCTCTTTAGGATCCCCTTAGCTCCTTTTAGTAGTGTTTTCTAAATTCAGCACATACATTTTATACATAACTGGAGTTGACTCATAACTATTAAATGAGTTTTAAACCAACTCTAAAAGGAATGCTTTGTTAATTTAAATCCCAGATTGTTCACTGTTAGTATTTAGAAATACAAGTATTTTTCCATATTGATCTTGTCTTCTTTATCCTTTTTAAATTAAATATCTAATGGTCATCTATAGATTATTGAAGTTACTTTACGTGTTGTCTTTATGATTTGTATGTATTTCTCAGTTTATGTAACAATATAGACAAGTTTATCTGTCCATTGCTATCTTGTTTTAATTGCTCTCTGTCTGAGGTTTCTAGTTCACTGGTGAAGGGAAGTGGTGAGATTACCATCTTTGTTTTATTCCTATTATTCTGAGGGAAAACGTTCTTTGTTCCTCACCTTAAATATGCAATTATAGGGAGATTTTTTTCAAACATTCTATTCATAAAGTTGGCAGTTTCTTTCTGTATCTACTTTGTTTTTTTATTCAAGAAATGCATGTGTATTGGATTTAGTCAATTACTTTTTATTTAATTGAGGTGATTTTGTGGTTTAATCTATAAATATCCTGACTTAATTGAAAATTTTTGAAGTAAATTTCATTATTGTATCTTAAGGTAAGAAAATGAGATCTATTCTTTCAACAAGTCTTTAAATTGAGAATATCACTATTATTTGTATTGTCTGATTGTATATAACAGGTTTTTAGAACTTTTAATTTTTGTATAACTGAAGTTTTCTGCTCATTAAACTACAGTTCCCCATTTCCTATATCACCATTTCCTGAAATCAGCTACTTTCTCCGATGCTATAAGTTTGAATACTCTAAATTCTGCATGCAGGTAGAAGCAGGAAATACTTATTTTCCATGTCTAGCTTATTTTACTCAATGACATTTCTCCCAGGATCATATATGTTGTAGAACATGACTGGGGATCTTTACTTATTTAAACTGAATGATATTTGTATTTCTATGTTTTATACTTTACGCATGCATTCTTCCATTGGTAGTTATTTCAAAGGTTTCCTTGTCTTGTCCATTTTGAATACTATAGCTATGACCACTGGTACACAAATATCAGTATATTTCCTTGCTTTTATTCTTTTGTACCTACACTACATGTAGAAGTACTAGATTCTATGTTTAATATTTTGAGAAACACCAATACTTGACTGGCTGCATAATTTCGAATTCCTACCAGCAGTGTACAGGGGATTTTTATTATCCTGCATTCTTTCTACATTAGTAGATTTACTTTTCACCATTTCCAAAATACCTAATAGAAGCAGCTGAAGAGATGAAGTTTTATTTTAGCTCACAGTTCCAAGATATTTCAGTCAATTGTGGAAAAATATTCGAGACAGGTTCAGACTGTCTGGCAGATTATGTGTCAGCAAGTGACCTAGTGGCAACCAACTAGGAGGCAGAGGATAGGACCAGAACCATAATTGAGTACAACCTTCGGGGAATTGCCTTATATGCTTGTATTTGCCAGTTAAGACCTTTGTCCCCAAAGTTCTATCACCTCCCAGAACTGTACCACAAGTTGAAGCAAAGTACTCACAACACATGAGCCTGTGTGATATATTCCTGATGCAAATAACAATACTTCTCAATATTTGCTATTATTTGATTACAAATATTCTAGTAGTTATGATATACCCACTCTTTGCTTTTCACTGTTTCATGATGTAGAATATAATTTTAGTTATCTATTGATCATTCATGTCTTCTCTGCAGAAATTCTATTTGATTTCTTGTCTTTTAATTCTGCACGCTCATGGGAGCACATGGACTAAGTACCAACAGTTAGAGGGAACCTGTATGGGACCTACCTAGGCCTGCTGCATGTGTGTGACAGTTGTGTAGCTTGGTCTGTTTGTAGGGTTCAAAGCAATGAGATCAGAAACCGTTCCCCATGCTGGATTACCTTGTCCAGCCTTGATGCAGGGGAACAAGCTCAGTCCTACCTCAATTTGATTTTTGGAGATGAGGGAGGAGGAGTGGATAGGGAGGGGGATGAAAGGACAGAAAACTGAGGTTGGTATAGTAAAATAAATGAAAAAAACTTAAACATTTTTTTAAAAAAAATTTATTCTGCACTTTGTTTCATTTTCCTAATGAGTTATGTTACCTAAAATGTTTTGGAAGTTACAACCTTATCAGATTTTAAAATAGATTCTCCTATCTCATAACTCTGATGGTTGGCTATTTATTTGTTAAAATGCTTTTCATTTTGAATTTACTTTGTCTTTAGATTACTTATTGAACTTTTGATGTCATACTTGGAAAACCATTGCCAAGACTGATATCATGGAGATTTTCTCCATGTTCTTTCAAGAACATCCATAGACCTTATATTTGAATCTTGAGTCTAATTCTTTGTACTTATAAGAGTCCTTCTCTTGTGTGTAGCTATTCATTATTTTCATGCCTTCCATTGAGGGAACTATTATTTCCCATTGTATAATGAAACCCTTTTGAAGATCATTTCTGTATATACCCATCAATGGCTGTCTTGGCACTCAGTTTCACTTACCTATATGCTAGTTGTTATGATAGTAGTGCTTTGTATCTTTTTAAATTATATGGGATCTCATTATAGGGTAATTTCCATTTTTGCCCTTTCCCTATAATGAGATCAATGACTACCTTAAGTGCCATCATAGAGCCTTCCCCCACTAGCTGATAACAGCAGAAGCAGAGATTCACAACTAACCACTGAGCCGAACTCATGGAATCTAGTTTTAGAGAGGGAAGAGTGATGAGCAAAGGGACCAAGACCATGTTGGGGAAACCCACATAAACAGCAGACCTGAACAAGTGGGAGCTCATGGGCTCCTGACTGGCAGTTTGGGAACCTGCATAAGACCTAACTAGGCCCCCTGAACGTGGGTGTCAGTTGGGGGGCTTGGGCAATCAACGGGGTCTCTGGCAATGCAACCAGTATTTATTTATCCCTAATGCACGAATGGGTCTTTGGAGCCCATTTCCAATGGTGAGATACTTTCTAAGCCTAGATTCACAGGGGTTAGTGTCACTATTACACTTTTAGTACACCTTGCAAGTTTGGCCATTGTTGTTGTTTGTAGGCATCACAGCTGGGCAGGAATATTGATTTCTACCCTCCCTTGGCACGTTGTATAGCACCATCAGATTCTATGAAGTCTAGTTCTCAGGAGAAGAGGCTTTCAGTTTAAATCCAGCTCAGATCTTCTGAGTCCAAAGTGCCTAGTGTTCTGTGCAATAGTGACTTACCTTCAGTTCCTGGGATGCAAAAAAAAAAAAAAAAGGCAACAGAAATACCCTGTATTGTTTTGTGATACTCTTGGACTCCCATGAGGAACAACTTGAAAAAATTTTCTCATGCCTAATTTGCATTTTTGTTAGATGATCTATGGTTCTAGGAGGAGGACTGTCAAACTAAGTAGCATAAAAGTGGCACAATTTCTTCTAGGCTTAACATATACTTATGTATGTCTGCATATATATAATAATATATTACCCATAATTATATATCTTTTTATATGTATATACAATTTTGGGTAAATATAAAATAATATGATTACTTAAGGCTTTATCAAAACTTTGTTGTTCTATATTCTTCCATCTGTCTCCTCTTATTGAACTACTTCCTTTCCATTTATCCCCTCATATTGTTTGTATCCTGTTACTCCCCTCTCTAGAACACACCCTCATTATGTTCCCTTTTTACTTTCCTAGTTTCTGTTTTGACTCTAGTTTATATACCTGGAACTATGAACCATAAATGACAGAGAACATGTAGTATTTTCTCTCTGAGTCTGGTTTTATGAATAGAGTAGAAATGAAGAGTACTGAGCAAGTGTCTGTGGAGTAGGTTGTTGAATTCTTAGGACATAAACCTAGGAGTAGTATAACTGGATCATATGGTAGATTTATTTTATCTTTTTAAAATTCTACATAATGATTTCCAGAGTGATTGCACTAGTTTCTTATCCTGACAACAGTGAATGGGAATTCCTCCTTCCTCATATCCTCACCAGCATTTGATGTTGGTTGTTTTGTTGATTTTAGAAATGGATGTAAGATGAAATGTCAATGTTTGCTGTAATTTGTATTTCTGAGCCACTTTTAGGTCTTCTTTTAAGAACTCTATGTTCAGATCCATAGGTGGTTTTAATTGGATCATTTGTTCCCTTAAGTGGTTTTTAGCTAAACTTTTTATTTTCTAAATACTAATTCTCTATCAGATGTACATAACTGAAAAAGATCATTTCCTACACTGTTGGTTTCCTATTTAATCATCTGTTTCCATTTGACAATTGTTGGCCTTATTTGAAAGTCATTTCTGACATTTATATCATGTAAGTTACTGGATTCCTTTTTATTGTTGTTGATACTTTTTATTATTTCTACAAGTTTCAGTATTTCAAGTTTCAGATTGAGTTCTTTGCTCCACTTCGACTTATGTTTTGTATATGGCGATAGAGATGTTCTAATTCTCTTCTTCTGCATGTGGCTACCCAGTTTTCCTTTCATCATTTGTTGGAAATGCTATCTTTTGTTCAATGTATGCTTTTGGAATCTTTGTCAAATATTAGATGGCTATAGTTACTTGTACTAATCTTAGGTCTTCAACTGGTCTACACTGGT